CCTGCTAAGCCCTACCCAAATTGCAATTACAAGCAAAACAAATGACTATTATTGTTTTAAGCCACTAAGTTTGTTGTCATTTGTTATACAGCAATAAATAACCAGAACAATAATGATAGCATCATGGTTGGATTCTAGGAAGCATCTTGGGTAACAGGGGCTGAGGCCGCGGGTCCTCCCGAGGGGTTGCCTGCCATAGCCAGGACAGGCTCTGGAATACTATCTTTTACCCACAACTACTACTCTCTGAAGATTTTTCTTTTCCGTAAGCTCTTACCATGTTCCTGAAATCTAAGGCACAGGGTCTAAATCTGTACCCACTCTGGCAATGGGACCTCAAGCCATTTTCAATTTCACCATATCACAAACTGAGGCCGCCCTTTGCACAGAAACCTGCAAATGTGATTTGAAATTATGGCTCCACTGCCAAGTAGTTGTGTGGGCTTTAGCTTCCTCATACATAATGGAAGTAACTGAGCTACATGTATCCCAAGATCCCTCCCAACTCTAACACTCCAACAGAGTATATGCTGGGCCTCCACAGAGTTCCAACTGAGTAGGGCAAATAAGACCCACATAAATATCCCCTCTATGAGGTATTATATGATAACTGCCATTTGGAGGCTCCAAACCAAGGATTCTAAGTAAGTGCAGGGAGGGTGGGACATCCATCCTAGCTGCGTATTAAAAGAAAAGCACTGGAAGATAAGTAACATTTGCATTCAGACCGGCAGAAATTTAAGGCTTGCATTAGAGATCAGGGAAAGATAAGGGCAGAAAGAAACATCACAGCCAGATCACAGAAAGCCTTGCAAACCAGACTCAGTTAGACATTATCATGAATAGCAGTAGTTTTTGAGCAGGGAGGTCCCAATAACGCCAAATTTATAAGGAAGTAAATGTGGTAACATAGTAAAATAATAGAAGGACCAAGAGAGGTAGGCTTCAGCTTTTCCTCCCATTAGTTTTGTATCGTTAGGGAGTACCTCCTCTTCTCTATGCCTCAGTTTCCCAATATGTAAATAAAGTGGGTTAGAGTGAATGAGCTCTAAAGCCCCTTTTCAGCTCTGCCTTCCTAACAATCTATAGACTGGATAGAAAGAGTCCAAAGCTAAGAAAACTCACTGGAAGGTACTACAAGGACTTGAATAGCTCAATAGCCTATGCTCTAAAAGGTTGCTCTCCCAGCCATCTAGTCAACTGAGCAAGAAATAGTTAATGTCTTCTATGTGCCAGGCATTGTTTCAGGCTCTGGGAACACAGAAAGAAGTCTTTGCCTCAATAAGTCTATATTCTCACAGATACCCAGATTTCCCGCATCTATAATTGGAAGCAAGGTTCCCAAATACAAGACTGATAGCCTGTATTTCCAAGCTGCAATGACCCAAGTGCTGGAGTTTCATAGTGAAGAAGCTGTGGAGGAAACGAGCAGGCACAGCAGGTCTTCTGAGAAGAGCACCCCCCAACCCCATCCCCCATCTGCCAGGTCTTACTGCAAATAAGTGAAATCTGAGAGGAGCAAGTGGCAAAAGTCACCCCATCCAGGCAGCTGAATTAGCTCTAGACATAATACTTCCTTGTTCGTAAGTCACCAAGCTGTTTCTAGTCCCACCCCAGGTCATCAACACCAACACAATAAAGTCTGACCTCTGGAATTCAGAGGAACTTTGAGACTCCCATGTCTCACCCAAAGAGCTGGATGCAATCATATCCTGTGAGCTGAAGTGGGAACAGCCTGTTGGGAAGGTGTATCTGGCAGGTAAGGGGGAAACAGTATGCCTATTCAGCCTCACCAACAAAGAGAAAAGGAAACCTGCTCTAGGAGACCAAGACACGACAGACAACAAAACTTAGGCAGTCAAATGCAAAGGCTCAGATTTCCCCCTCCTACATATTCCTGTCAAATCAAGACTGGACTACAAAGGTAAAGAAAGGGAATAAATTAGCAAAATTCCTGTGAAAACCTAGGGACTGGAATCCAGGATCTTTAACCCAGACTAGGTTGGTGGTGGCACCAGGTGAAGTCTTATGCAAATTAAAAATACAGCACTGCTAATACTATCTTGACAGTTCCACTGGGTTCTGTCTGCCTATCCCTGCCAATTTTCTATGCCGCAGAGCTCCCTTTTCCATCAAAGTTAGATACAAATGCCTCAGCCAGGGTGTCAAAGGCCCAGCTTTCCAAGGCCCTGGCACCCCTCCTCTCCCCCACCAAAGCCCTGGCCAAACCAAGAAGTCTCCTCCTCCTTGGACTCCTGGGTTAAGCAATGATATAAAGGGCCACAGGTCACAGCCAAACAGCTATTGAAAGGTCAGACTAAGAAATTCAGGTGCCAACATCATAGATCCAAGTTATAAACCCTTTAGAGAAGGAGAATGGATCATCCCTTGTCCCTCATTGTGGGGCACAGAACCTGGCACCTAGGAGAACCCACGGAGTTCACTGACAATGCCTTCCAGTGACTTACACCAGCGATTTACTGGATTTGCTGCCTTACTCAGCCCAAAGATCACACCCAGATGTGGCTGGAGAGAAGGCAGCCAAAGAAACCACCAGATCACAATGTCTAAACAACACCTACAGCCCAGGGGTAGCCTCGAAGAGAAGGGTGTAGCTAGCTACAAAGGCCTATGACTCCCTAACAAAAGCCAGGTTCTCAGGAAAGGAGGGAGGGGAGAAGAGAAGTGGAAATGTGGCAGGAAGGAAGCGAAGTCTTAAAAGGGAGGCTGGAAAGGTGCTTTTTTAGGCACATCTGAGGCTCAGATATTTTCATACATCATCCAGTATGTTATCATGGCAAGCATGCTGGGAAGCTAAATGAAGAGTGATTTCTGAAAACATTTAGAGACACGTAGGCATGTATTCAAAATAGAAACTGGAGCACCTGTCAGCAGTCTTGGTTCTGCTTTGAAACTTGGTGTAAATACTGCATCTCCCAACGCTTCACCCCACCCCTGTATGGTAGACATTAGAAAAAAAATGAATCCTCAAAGGAGTTTAGGGTTACTGGGTATGATAATCTCCAAGTCAGGTTCTAAATATACCATTTCTTTAAAATTAAGAATAAAAATATATAATCACATATGTTTGTTTTACCTCTACAGTAGTCTGACTTAAAAGAAAAAAAAAAAGGAACCTTAATTCCCATCTCCATTGCCAACTCAATCATAGTAAAGGCTGACACTAGGCTGATAAGCCCAGAAAAGTGGTTCATAGGAGCCGGCAATGAGAGACAAAGAATCTAAGATCTTGACCTGTTTCTGCCTTGGCCACCAACATGCTGTGGAAAATGTCAGTTTTTCCACCGGTTTTATCCAAGAAGTTGTGGGCCCCTTCCATTCCCAGCCTTACCCAGTTCAGGGAAGCATGTATGCCAGCAACACCAGTCTAGGTTAGAGGGGTCAAATGGGCAGGGGCAGGGAATGTTATTATTGGTCTTGCCGCCACAAAGTGGATATTCAATTTGTTTGGCTAAGTCTCAAGCTCTTAGGTACTTAACAAGTCAGAGCCCACCAATCCCTGTTTGGTTGGCACAGTCTATCCAGACCATTTCTATTGGAAACAAGCCCTACATTTACAGTATGGAGAGCCTCTGCCTCCTTCATGCCAATCACTTCCCTGGGGCTATATCCTCCAGTGTCCTATTATATCTGGACTCCAGTTCTGAATGAACCAAACATCTACCACTACCTCTGACCAAAGACCTGAGTGTGCCACACCACAGTGGACTCAGCCCAGCACAGCACAGCCCAGACATCCAGGAAGGAACTAGCCCTGTGCATCCTTCTCATAGCAATCCATTCTAGTGGCTGAGATCCCCAAAGACAAATTTTTACACCAGAGATTCAGCAGAAGGGGCTATCAAAAGCATGTGGCTTTGGCTGGACATGGTGGCTCTCACCTGTAATCCTACCACTCTGAGAGGCTGAGGTGGGAGGATCACTCAAGGTCAGGAGTTCAAAACCAGCCTGAGCAAGAGCGCGACCCCATCTCTACTAAAAATAGAAAGAAATTAATTGGCCAGCTAAAAATATATAGAAAAAATTAGCCAGGCATGGTGGCACATGCCTGTAGTCTCAGCTACTCGAGAGGTTGAGGCAGAAGGATTGCTTGAGCCCAGGAGTTTAAGGTTGCTGTGAGCTAGGCTGATACCATGACACTCTAGCCAGGTCAGCAGAGTACAACTGTGTCTCCCAAAAAAAAAAAAAAGCATGTGGCTTTAATAAAAGAGACTAAAGGTTCTTCTAAGGACCTCCACATCCAGCCTTGGCCAAGACCTGAAAAGCCCTGGTGAGAGCGTTGTACATCTATCTGCCAGTCCTGGAAGCTTTGATTTCATCATAAGGAGGGAGTTAATACTTACTGAGTGGCTTTATGCCAGTCACTATGCTAAGCACAGACATACATTATCTCATTTAATCCTCATAACAACTCTGAGATAGGTACTATTTTAATTCTTTTACAAATGAGTTAACTAAGATTTTAAAAGGCATAGGAAAACGTTTTGGGAGCTCACTATTTGGTAAGTAGTTAGAGCTTGGATTTGAACCCAATTCTGTATGATTCCAAAATCTGCGGTTTGTCTGAACTCTTAAAAAGCCTGGACTTCTGCTTAGAACTTGTGCTAATGTGCATAACTGTCTACCCACCCCTATCCCAGTGTGGTCAGCCTCACTCACTATAGTACATCCTAGCTTAGGCACAGGTCCCAAACTGCCCCCACCCTGGGAAATAGTTATAGTCAGAAGAACATCAGTTACTTCCTGCCAGCTCCATCCCTTAACACGAGCCATCTCCAACAGCACAAGCAAAGCTTATTTTAGGGTTACTGTTTGCTACCTCCAAGGAAAACTTACAGAACTAGAAAATGACTTCTGCCTAATGGTCAGCATGAGTTGGCCTAGACCAGTCACCTGAATGATTGTCAGAGTGATGATGGTAATTATGTACATCAAGGCTGTCCCTTGATGCCATCCCCCAGCAGTACTCCCCTACCCACCTGCTCAGAGTCTCCCGAGGGGCCTTAGTGCCTCTGGCTCCATGGGTGATGCTGGAATTCTTGTTGGCAGTCATGGTCATTTCGGCTCTCTGCAAACCCAGAGCCCTGAAAAGAAGACAAGGCCTGTAAGCCAAGTTTCCGCGGGCAGCCAAAAGCACCTCAAACATCTTCCAGATGACCTCCAAAACTGCCAAGAGGGTTTCTGTGGCAGGTAGTAGAAACCACTTTCCCACATAAGTTTAACTCCATATGTTATAGCTTAAGAGCCTCAAGAGACCACTGGTAGGGACAAGTCTATGAGCTAATAGATAACTTACCACTTCACAGAAAATGAAAAAAAAATAAAAATAAACTCCACCTCAATCCCACCTCTCCTCATTTCTTAAAAGAGTTCCCCAAATTTCTATCACTCCACGTAGTCTTTATGATTTCTGACATATTTGTATACCTCAGTTTTCTAGAATAAACTTGAAATTGATTTCCTTTTCTTAAAAAAAAACTTTAACCTTGTTCTAAACAATAAACATTCATTCATTCAATAAATATTTACTAAGTACCCACATCCAAGGCAAATGCAATCCAGCAAAGATAAAACAAAGTCTTTACCCTCATGGAGTTTACACCCTAGTGGGAAGAAAGAGTCAATAAGCACGTACGTATCACATCTGTGTAACAAGGTGATGATAAGTGGCACAAAGGGAAAAAAGTGACACACAGTAGAGGAAAAGAGAGAAGAGGGTGTGTTATTTTAATAGGATGTTTGAGGAACACCATTCTGATAAAGGGACATTTGAGCAGACACCATAAAATTGGGAGCTAGAAGTACTAATCATATTTTTTCTAATACCCATTAAAATAAAATATACATTAAAGAATTCAAACATTTACAAAGCAAAAAATGTCCATTCATATACTGTTAGCTAATATTAGGCTATAAATATGAATCAAAAGTTTATTATATCTCAAAAAGAAGCAGGCCGAGCATGGTGGTTCACGCCTGTAATCCTAGCACTCCGGGAGGCCGAGGCGGGCGGATTGCTCAAGGCCAGGAGTTCGAAACCAGCCTGAGCAAGAGCAAGACCCCGTCTCTACTAAAAATAGAAAGAAATTAATTGGCCAACTAATATATTTAGAAAAAATTAGCTGAGCATGGTGGCACATGCCTATAGTCCCAGCTACTTGGGAGGCTGAGGCAGTAGGATTGCTTGAGCCCAGGAGTTTGAGTTTGCTGTGAGCTAGGCTGACGCCACGGCACTCACTCTAGCCTTGGCAACAAAGTGAGACTCTGTCTTAAAAAAAACAATAAATAAAAAATAAAATCACCAGAACAGAACTTCTCAAACAATCATCATACTGTGCGTTCATTAGCCACATCCTTCCCAAACACTTCACTGGTATTTCAAGCTGTCTGCGCTGCACTGGTTCCAGAACAGAACTCATATTTGAAAATAACATGAATTTTTTAGTTATCCATGGTTTCACAAAAATTGCTCTAAAAAATATTTGAAAGATAATCACAAACCAAACCCTGTATTCAAAAGAATGATGATGTACCTTCACAATAAAAATAAAACAAAAAGCATCAAAGTGAAAAATGTCACAGATATCAACTATCAAACTTAGTACTTATGGAAATCAGACATTTCATACTTAATAACCTAATATATCACCAATGGTAAAAGCACCATCCTTTAGGGAACACTATTTTATGCCAAATAATGAAAGGAAGAAAACGGTTAAAATTTAAGAGCAGATTAGAAAGGAAGAAGTAAAATTATCTCAATTTGTAGATGGCATGATTTTGTATGTAGAAAATCCTAAGGATTCCACTAAAAAACTATTAAGCTAGTAAGTGAGTTCAAGAAAGTCTGCAGGATATACAATCAATATAAAAATCAATTTTATTTCTAGACATTAGCAATGAACAACCTAAAAACAATTTCATTAATAATAGGAAAATGAATAAAACACTTAGAAACATTTAATAAATTTAAGAAAAGAAGTGTAAGACATGTACACTACAAATTATAAAACACCACTGAAAGAAATTAAAGACATTAAAAAATGGAAAGACATAACATGTTCATGACTCAGAAAACTGAATATTATTAAGATGATAAAACTCCAAAAGTTGATCTTCAAGTTCAACAGAATACCCATCAAAATCCTAGCTGGCTTCTTTGCAGAAACTGACAAGCTGATCCTAAAATTTTATGGAAATTCAAGGGACACAGAGCTGCCAAAACAAACTCAAAAAAGAGGAAGGAATAAAGTTGGAGGGCTCAGACTTGCCAATTTCAAAATATACTGCAAAGCTATAGTAATCAATAAAGCATGCTACTGAGGCTGGGCACAGTGGCTCATGCCTGTAATCCTAGCACTCTGAGAGGCCAAGGTGGGAGGATCACTCAAGGTCAGGAATTTGAGACCAGCCTGAACAAAAGCGAGACCCCATCTCTACTAAAAATAGAAAGAAATGAATTGCCCAGCTAAAAATATATAGAAAAAATTAGCCAGGCATGGTGGCGCATGCCTGTAGTCCCAGCTACTTGGGAGGCTGAGGCAGAAGGACCGCTTGAGCTCAGGAGTTTGAGGTTGCTATGAGCTAGGCTGATGCCCTGGCACTCTAGCCCAGGCAACAGAGTAAGACTGTCTCAAAAAAAAAAAAAAAAAAAAAGAAAAGAAAGTATGGTACTGACATAAGAATAAAAACAGAAATCAATGTAATAGAATACAGAGCCCAGAAATAAACTCTTAGATTTATGATCAAATAATTTCACCAAGGATGCCAAGACAATTCAATGGGGGAAAGAAGAGTCTTTTCAACAAATGGTGCTGAGAAAACTGGATATCCATATACAAAAGTAGGACTCCTACATCATACCATATATAAAAATTAAGTAAAAATGGCTTATAGACCTAAATATAAGAGCTAAAATCAGAAAAGCAAAGCTTAAAAGAAAACATACGAGTAAACCTCTGTGACACTAGATTAGGCAATGGTTTCTTGGATATGACACCAAAAGCACAAGCAACAACAACCAAAAAAATCACTAAACTGCATTATACCAAAATAAAAAACTGTGCTATAAGCAATACCATCAAGAAAGTAAAAAAGGCAACCTACAGAATGGGAGAAAGTATTTGCACATCATGTATCTGCTAAGAAACATGTGTCCAGAATATATAAAGAATTCTTACAACTCAATAATATAAAGGCAAATAACCCAATTAAATAGTAGGCAAAGGATTTGAATAGAAATTTTCCAAACATATAAATTTGGCCAAAAACATACGAAACAATGCTCAATATCACTAGTCATTGGGAAAATACAAATCAAAACCACAATGAAATACTACTTCACATCTATTAGGATGGTTATAATGAAAAAAGACAGACAAAAATAAGTGCTAGTAAGACTGCAGAAAAATTGAAACCCTCATTCACTGCAGGTAAGAATGTAAAATAGTACACCACTTTAGGACACAATTTGGCAATTCATCAAAAAGTTATTATACACAGAGTTACCATATGAACCAGTATGGCCCTCTCCTAGGTATATAACCAACAGAAATGAAAACATGTGTCCACACAAACACCTGTACATAAATGTTCATAACAGTATTACTCATAATAGCCAAAAAGTGAAAAACTCAAATATCCATCAACTGATGAATACATGTACACAAAATGTGGTATATCTATACAATGGAATATTATTTGGACATAAAAAGGAATAAAGTACCAATACATTCTAAAACATAGATAAACCTTGATTCCATTTTTATGAAATGTCCAGAAATAGGTAAATCTATAGAGACAGAGAGTAAATTAGTGATTGCATAAGGCTAGGTTGAGGGTGGCAGAATGGGGCATGACTGATATGAGTATGAGATTTCTTTCTAGGGAGATAAAAATGCCCTGGAATTAGATAGTGGTAATGGTTACACAACTCTCTGAATATATTAAAAACCACTGAATTATACAGATGAATTTTATGGTACGTGAATTATATCTCAATATAGATGTTAAAATAAAACTTAAGAGCTAAAAAAAACCTGTTTAAGTACCTTGGTGAGAGGGTGTGAGAGACAACACAATCAATACATCAAGCATATTTCCAATGTGGACTGTGGACTGTGCTACCACCATCATCATGGAAGCTGAACAGTTCATGAACATAGTTCTCTCTCTCTGGTTGGAATCCTCATACCACATTGATCAAAACAAAGTGTATCTGGATATGAAAGTTAAATATATTTATTCATGGCCACTAAAGATCTTAATCCTGGAGGCCATCTTAGTTATTATATTGGTGCAAATAAGTGGTTTCAATGATAAAAATAAGTCAAACTCTACTTCTTGATATCATTTATAGTTCTTTTCTCATTTCAACATGAAATGCATTAGCCCAAACTTCTTTAACTTCATGTAAGTTCTCAGAGTTGTGGTTTTGGTGATAGTGGAAGTGAGTAGAGTGGTATACTTGGAAAGAAAGGAAGCAGTCAGCATATGTATGATTATCTGATGGTGACAGTAATGAAACATCCCTCCAAGGTAAATACTGCAGTTGCTTTTGAAAAAGGAAACCAACCTTGAGCCTCACTTTTATTCTTCATAAAATGAAGAAAAGCCTTCCCTATCTCTTGGGGGTGAAAGTCTTTATAAACTTAGGTATATAGCATAATGTTGGTAATGATCAGCCAATCTTGCCACCAGGGCATCTATGCACATTGGCTCTGGTGAGATATCATCTACCTGCACCAGTTCAGTGCCAAGTTAAGTGCTTGGCGTACAGCTGTATGTGCAACAGAAAAAAGGAAGGGAAGAGGCAGCCTCTGGAAGCTTTCTCAGGCCAGCTCCCAGGGTCTGCAGGGAACACAGTGCTACACGAATCAACTTTCAACTGCAGCAACGGTAGCCATGGGCACAATAACCATTACCACCACCCATCAAAACAATACTTGACATGCTCTATCAGCTCCAGGGCAGGCCCTCAGGGAAAGGGCAGAAAAATTGTGGAAAGACCAGAAACTAAAATATATTAAAAGAACATGATATAAAACATATTCTTTCTTTCTGAATTTCCAATTTTAGAAGGGTGGACTTGCTGCTCTGAAATGCTATTATGTGTATGAGAACACAGAGCCAACTTAGTAAAAAGGAAAAATGTAGCTGACTCTGACACTTGGGTGGGGCCAAGAAGAAAAATCCTGTGAAAATTTAACCAAGAGAGAGGCAGAACAAAATTGTTCCCAGTCCCATGGCAGGGACGCTTAAGTCATATTTCTGCAAGAGTGCAACTGCCACTCTCAAAAGCAGCCTAAGAATTCAGCCATCTTGGGCAGATACTCCTGAGAACTCCAGAAGGACCCACTAGTTTAGAAGAATATAGATGCCAGTTCACCATCCTCCCCAAATGCTCTCTCTGGGCCAAGTATATCAGGGTTAGAGACTACTTTGATGGCTTGAGAAGCTGAAGGTCAAACTAACCCTTCACGCCTGAAGCTCAGGTTGGAGCGCTCTCAGCATGCTGGCTTCCTGGGCCATATTGCTTCTCCCAGCCTCCTGAAGGCAGCTCCAGGCTCTATGCTGTCAGCCTGATTCCTTGACTAGTCAAGCTGCAGGAGAGAAGACGCTCCTAAAGCAGAGGAAATATCCACTGGGAACATAGCAGAGAAGAAGGGGGATGAGAGGCTGTTTCACTAGTTCCCAAGCCCATCAATGGCAAAGTCCAGGCAGAAACTACATGTTTGGAAAATGAAATTGTTCAATCAGCATCTACCACCAATCACAAGTTCCTTAAAAACCCAACTTTGACATATTATAAACAACTATTTAAAAAATGACAGTCCAGAGAAAGAAACAGAGTATGGTCCCTCCGGAACTTTTCTACAAATTCTGCATTCAGACAAAAGACCACAGTCCCAGGAACTAGAGGGGCAGCAGGAAGAACACCTGACTTGGAGTCAGACAACTGGCTCCAGCCCTGCCTCTGTCAACTGCTTGTTAATAACGTCACACATAGGAGTTTCAAAGACTCACTTTCCCACTGTAACAGCAATGATGATGACATGACCTACTCCCATTATTGCTTCCCTGGACATTTTGGAAGACAACTTCTCCATTCCTGAGCTGGCATCAATTTTCAGACTCCCTGGTACTGCCATTCAATCTATTTACTCTGTCAGGCACTGTGCAAGGTGTTAGGATATAAAAACAGAAAGATATAGTCTCTGCCTTGGAAGAAGTATGAAGGCAGAAGTCAAGTAAAAAGTGGGCTCCAGGAAGGCCTCCTCAGAAGGTGATATTTGAATTAAGTCTTAATCTATTTGTTACCCACAGTAAGAGGACGTAAGGAAAAGCAAAGGTACAACATATTATGAGACATGCTGCTAGATTTTTTTTTTTTTTTGAGAGTCTCACTCTGTCACCTGGGCTAGAGTGCAGTGGCATCATCATGGCTCACTGCAACCTCAAACTCCTGGGCTCCAGCGATCCTCCTGCCTCAGCCTCCCAGGTAGCTGGGACTACAGGTACATGCCACCATTCCTAGCTATTTTCTATTTTTACTAGAGACGGAGTTTCACTCTTAGGCTGGTCTCAAACTCCTGAGCTCAAGCAATTCTCCTGCCTTGGCCTCCCAGAGTGCTAGGATTACAGGTGTGAGCCACCATGCCCAGCCTAGATTTTTTATATATATAATTATAATAGCCAAAGTTATCAGCATTTCACATGTATTAAATAATTTAATCCTTTTAACAACCTGTGAAGCAAGTATTATTATTATTATTTTCACTTTACTAAATAAACCAAGACACACATCAATGAACTTGCTTGCCATAAGTCACACAGCTAGAAAGTAGCAAGACAGGGATTTGAGCCCAGGTAGCCTATCCCTGTGTCTGCCACACCTCTCTGCCCCCCACCTACACACATAACCTAGAGCCACTGCAAGCTTCAGGGAGGTCATCATTAGAATAAGTTTCTTTTAAGTATCCAAACCCAAGTTCTCAAAAGTGTGAGCTTTCAAGTCTTCCTTTCTCTCCTGCAGTTGTGCTAAGGTGGGAAGGCTTTGCTTACCTCTCAAATCTCTGCATGAACTAAGAGCTCCAGGCCTTGCTGCAGCAGCTTACCTACACAGTTTCTCTATTCTCTGGCATTATTAGGAAGCTCAGCTATCACACTGGTCTCCTGACATCCTATCCTAGCCCCCTGACCCCACATGGCTGAGAAAACTATAGGGCAGTACTAGTTCTTCTCAGTTTTCTGATGACTCTCAGTACTTAGCAGAGTTCTGCACATAAAAGGTGCTCAAATAAATGCCGGCTAATTTGTTAACTCATGACAACAGAGCCAAAGGCAGGGAGCCAAAGACAGGGATGACAAAAGGCCCTAGAAGTTCTAATACTGGTCATATCCTCTAAAATGCAATCTTTCTATTCCAAAGTTACAGCTGCTATAAAACTGGTGAAAGAGTCTTCTGGTTGTAGCTGCCACCCAGCCAGACTGTTAATGCCAGGCCTTTTTTCCCTCCACTGCTTGGCTGATCTTGGCTTCCAATCTCCTCACATGTGTCCCCACTGTCTCTAGGTCCCTGCTGCAGTAACAGGGTCTCATCCAACATTACCAAGAAGAAAGGCCATTCCTGGAAAACTTGCTGTACCCTCATCCCTGTTATCTCTCTCCTCCCTCATCCCTATTCTTCTCTACTTTTCCTGATTCATTTATAGCTGTTCATCTGTCCACAACATTGTCTTTGGCTCTGCTGCACCTAAAAATTTGGGACTGCCAGGAAAAGGGGAGAGAGTGGGCTCACAGGGTTGGCTAAGTGGGCATCAAAAGCTTTTGAAAGGGTGCCAAGAAGGATATTCTCAAGTCTATCTTATTTCCTCCAAAATACAAACCCTCTTTTCTCCTTCACTACTTCTATATACCTTGTACCTTGGATCTTTCCATTCCAGCCTCAGGTTCTGCATTTCTAGCTCTAGAGAGCCCTTCAAACAAAAATGTTGAGGGGATAATGAGCCAGGTCAAGTGGAGAGGAACCAAGATTTCTTTTGCTTGGAGGTCAGAAGGATTGCCAGGTGCTCTTACGGGTCCCTATGAGGTTGAAATCTCCCTCAACCAGCCTCAGAAAAAGATGATTTTGTTGTTGTTGAATAATAATCAGAAAAAGATTAAGAACTCTTTCCATCTCTTCACTGTCCACTTATCACTCCCACACCCTCCTTCCCAACCCTCCTCCTTAAAGAAAGCCCTTAAAGTTTAGATTTTCAACCCCAATCATTTTTTTAATCCCTTTTCTTGCCAGATGGTCCTTCTCCACTTCAACACAGATTCTGCAGAGGTTTTAAGCAGGGTTTAAACACTTCCTGAAAGCTTGAATTGGGATAAGGGCTTGTTAGGCAATTCCAGGCCAAAGGAAATCTGCTTATTTCCAAGACAGTTTAAATAACCTAGATATGGCTATTTCTGCCAGTCTGGAAACTTAGCCTCTCAGCAAATGGCTTAACCTAGCTCTGCCAGGGTGATGGAGCACACACTGCCCAAGACCTGTCACCACTTTGAAAAAGAAGGCAGAATGGAGGCTTGTCCCATAGAGAACCCTGCTCCTGGGGGCCAACCACTGCTCTTTCATTTTGGCAAGAAGAATGTGGTGGGTCCCAACATCATGATGATGATCCAAAGACCACAGTCCTATCTCACATCAGCACCCTCCCTCTGGCCAGCTGCAACAGACTGGTTGCTGGTTGCTATTTCCTGCACATGCCAAGAATGTTTATGCCTCCAAGCTTTTGTTCAACCAATTCCTTCTATCCTGAATGTCCTCCACCCCCATTCTTTCTTAAATATCCAGTTCAAAGGTCAACTTCTTTCTGAAGCCTTTTCTGACTCTAATTCCTGACCTCATTCTCACCCTTCCCATGCTCTCTGGTCTAGCCGAATTCAACCTAACTGATGGCAAGATGCCTCCTCTGCTCTACAAAAACACTCCACTTACAAGCTGCACTTTCTCGGAGGAGGACTAGGAAATAATAAGGACTAAAGGAGCAGGGTAAGTCTCAATACCTCCGTCTTCCCACTTGCAGCATAGGGAAACTACTCACCTCTATAATGAGAACATGAATACCAATGAGAAGGCATCTACAAAGAAGACAGGATACTCAGAACCCAGAGGGAACACACAGGAAGTCTCTGGGCCAAGCAAGGTCTTAGCTTTCCCCCCACTCTCAACTTCAACAACTCCCCCCACCCATCCTTACCCTTTCAGCTGACTTTGCTTCCTATTTCATTAAAAAAAATAGAAACAATCTAAACAGACTCAATAAATTATAACCAACACATTTACCCACCACCACCATCAGTGTGGATTTTGCTCTCTACTCAAAACCAACAAAAATACAGTTCCCATTCACTCAAAGGAAAAGCCAAACTGTTTACAGCGACTTACAAGGCCCCCCTTCATCTGGGTCCCTATCCCATCTCTGGCCTCATTTGCACTACTCTTTCCCCCTTACTTTCTCCATGTTAGCCACACTGTCTACTTACTATATCCTCAAAGACACCAGGTACATTCCAACCCCAGGGCCTTCACACCTGCTGTACAACCCGTAACTGGAGCACACTCCCCCAGAGAGCTGATCGCTCATCTTCTTCAGGTCTTTTGGTCAGATGTCATCTTCTCAGTGAGGTCTTCCTGGACTACACTATAAACAATCAGAACCTTTCCCGACTCTGCTACCCCTCAGAACTCTATCCCCCATTTTGTTTTCTTTTTCTCCATAGCATTTATCACCACTACTACTTTTCTTTTCTACTTATTATGTTTATGTAAGCTCCACGAAGCTAGGCATTTTTGTCTGTTTTGTTCATTGCTATATCTTCACTGCCTACTGAAGTGTGTCCCTGTCACAAAGTTGGCCCTCAATATGCATTTTTTAAATGAAAAAACATTTGCTACTGGCTCAAAGTGGTGCTCTCTGGACAGGGGGAGCAGCTTAGGCTCCACTATCTAGGCCTGGTCTTCCATCCTCACCAGCCTTCCCAGTGAAGGGTCTCACCTGCTTGCAGCAACCATACCTATGCAGAAAATTCAAAAGGGGGCCATGCCCTCTCAGCACCCAAAAGATTCTGGGCAAAAGTGGCTTCAGCCCAAGAACTCAACTAAAACTGTACTCTGAAAAGATTACAATGACAAATGCAAAAGTCCTTTCTCTGAGTTTAATGAATCATAGGACACTCCTTTCCTGATGTCTACTGTTTTGGACACTACTGATCAGCCCTCCCTGAAGCACTGTATGTAGTTAACTCTCAATCTGGAGCGCAGCCCTGAGTGTGAAAGATCTTTATGCTCATCAAAACAGAGTACAGGTTAAGAAATGCTGGGAAATACTGTAGAAGTAGAGAAAGAGAGATAGGTGTGGGCATCTAAGGTTTTCATTTATTTACTTGCTTGAACCCTTTGAGGGTGTCTTCCCAGCCAGGCCCCCATGCTACTGTGCTATGCTCTGACCCTTGCCTTTGCCCTTGAGCAGCTCCCCATCCTGCCTGGGATAGACAAGGAAAGATTCTGGTACAGTGTAACAGAGCTGTGATAAAAGTAGGAACACAGAGCTCTGGGAGCAAGGAGAAAGACACCTAATAAGGTGAACAGGATGGATATCAGGGAGGACTTCTAGAGGAGACAGGAAATGTCACTGAGCTGAGTCTTGCAGGACTTAGAGGAGATAAAGAAGATATAAGAAAAACATTGCAAGTGGAAGAAAATCCATGAGCAAAAGCCAAGGAAATCTTGGAGCAAGTAGAGATTACTTAAACAGGACATAAAAAGTGATAATCATAATGGAAATCACTGATAAATTAGACTACATTAAATATGATAAGTGAGTAAAATTTATTCATTTTTAAAAATGCCAGAGTGAAAGGAAACCTACAGAGTGGGAGAAAATATTCCCAGTAGATCTATCCAACAAAGGACTAATATCCAGGATATAAAAAGAACTCCTACATATCAATAAGAAAAAGACAACACAGAAGAAAAATAGCAAAAGACTAGCACAGATAACTTCACCAGAGGATATCCAAATGGCCAAAAGATACATAAAAAGGTATCCAACTTCATTAGTTATCAAGGAAATGCAAATTATACAACCTTAATGTGATACCATTAACATACTCACTGGAATGGATGAAACCAAAAAGACAGAAAATACCTAGTGTTGGCAAGGATGTGAAGCAAGTGGAACTCTCAAACACTGATAGAGAAGGTGTAAGTTAATACTACCACTTTGGAAGAATGTTGAGTATCATATTCTAAAGCTGAACGAACATACATACACCCTATGACCCAGCAATTCCTTTCCTGGATATATAGCCAACAGAAAATGCATACACATGTGTACCAAAAGACAAAT